AGGCCCGAAACGTCAGCCTTCCTGCTCCTCTGATGCTGCTTGGCCTGCTGTGTTCATCCAGCTCTACATCTTGTTATCTCGGATTCTCCAGCATCTGCAGTTCCTACTATCTCTAATAATTAAGGCCAGTTTGGATTCGTTTAGGAAAGCTTGTGCCTAACTTGATTTTCTTTAGGGAAAAGACGAGTAGGATTGTTGAAAGTAGCTCAGTTCATATGGTCTCTGGATTTTAGCAAGACTTTTGTCAAGGTCCCATATGGCAGACTGGTTTTAAAAAGAAAAGTCTGGATACAAAATTGGTTCATTAGCAAAAAACAAGCTTTAATTGTTGATGGGTATTTTTGTAATAGGAAGTCCAGTACCCGTGTGGCTCTGTAGATACTAGGTACCCTGCTTTTCTTTTGGTTAAATAACAAGGTAGATAAGTTGTAGCGCAGATTGAAATTGGCAGGTACGACATTGTGGGTATCACAGGTACTTGGCTATAAGAAGATTAGGACTGGGACATAAATATCTAAGAATACACATCTTATTGAAAGTACATGCAGATGAGTGGGGTTGCCTTGTTAGTAAGAAATAAAATTAAATCAATAGCAAGAAGTTACAGTGTTGAAAGTTGTAGACTCCATGTGGGTAGAGTTGGGGAACTGCAAAGGAAAAATGACCAAGATGGGAGTTGTGTACAGGCCTCGTGGCAGTAGCCAGGACATGAGGAAAAAAATAAATCAGAAGGTAGTGCCTTTCTTACATGCCGTTTCTATTACAATAATTATGGTGGACTGGGAAAATCAGGTTGGTAGCGGATCTCAAGAAAAGTAATTTGTGGAATATCTATGAGGTGTTTTTTTTGGAGAAGTTTGTGGTAGAGCCCACTAGAGAACAGGCAATTCTGGATTTAGGTGATGTGTAATGAGGCAGACTTGATTAAGGAGCTGAAGGTAAAGGAACCCCCAAGGTAACTACAAAGACATGAGGGAGGATCTGGTCAGAGTTGATTGGAAGGGGAGCCTAGCAGGAATAGCAGGAATTTCTGCTAAGAAGAGGATGAAGCAACCATGGCTGACAAGTCAGCAACAGCATAAAAGCAAATAATGCAAATGAAAATTAGCGGGAAGCCACAGGATTGGAAAGCCTTTAAAAAACCAGCAGAGGATAACAAAAAAAAACAATGGTGGTTGTGGGTGGTGGTGAAGTAGATGAAATTTGAGAGTTAGCTAGCTAAAGAAGATTGCAAGAGTTTTTTTTAAGATATCTAAAAGATAAGAGAGGCGAGGGTGAACACTGGGGCTAAAAAAGTAGTAATGTGGAACAAAAAAACGGCAGAGGAACTGAACACATATTTGCATCAGTCATTATGGTGGAAGACACAGTACCGTACCAGAACTTAGAGTCAGGGCAGAGGTGAGTGAGATGATGCTGGGGAAAGTGAGGTCTGAAGGTGGATGTACCACTCAGACCAGATGGACGACACCCCACAGTTCTGAAGAAGATAGCAGAGAAGATTGTAGAGGCATTGGCGGTGATCTTTCCGGAATCACTGGAGTCCGGGAGAGTCCCAGAGGACTGGAAAGTGTTTAATATAACACCCCTGTTTGAGAAGGGAGAGAGGCAGAAGACCGGAAACTATAGGCCAGTGAGCCTGACCTTGGCCATGGGTTAATATTTTAGAGTCCATTATTAAGGATGGGATTGCAGAGTACTTAGAAGTGCAAGGTAAAAGAGGGCTGAGTCAGCTTGGCTTTGTCGAAGGGAGATCATGCCTGACAAACCTGTTAGAACTCTTTGAGAGGGTGATTAGCAAGTTAAACAAAAGAGAGTCAGTAGTGGTGATCTATTTGGATTTCCAGAAAGTCTTGGACAAAGTACTGTAAAAGAGACTGCTAAAAAAGATAATAGCCCAAGGTGTTAGGGGCAAGTACTGGTATAGATAGAGGATTGGCTGACTGGCAGAACACAGAGAATAGGGGTAAAGGAATCTACTTCAGGAATGGCAGCTAGTGTGTAACAGAATTCCACAGGGGTTAGTGTTAGGACTACAACTATTCATGTTATATATTGATGATGTGGATGAAGGGCTGAAGGCATTGTTGCTAAATTTGCAGATGACACAAAGATGGGGACAGGTAGTACGGTGGAAGCGGAGAGGCTACAGAAGGACTTGGGTTTGCCGGGTGAGTGGGTAAAGAAGGAGCTGATGCAATACAAAGTGGCAAAGTGTGAGGTTATACATTTTGGTAGGAAGAATGGAGGTAAACAGGGAAAGCCTTTGGAAATTTGATGCGCAAAGGGGCTTGGGAGTCCTAGTTCAGGATTCCTTTAAAGTTAACATGCAGGTTCAGTCAGCGGTTAGGAAGGCAAATGCGATGTGGGCATTCATTTCAAGAGGGCTAGAAAATAAGAGCAGAAATGTACTGCTGGGGCTGTATAAGACTCTGAAACTTGTACATGGCACAGAAATTACCCCCATGTTTAACACTGAGGAGGATAGTTGTACACTGCATGAAGATGTCAGGAAGGACTTGTTCAGTGGGCTGAAAGATGGTAAGTGTGAATCAACCCAAGAGAAATGTGAGATGTGCAATAAGTGAGGGTTTTTGAAGTGAATGGCCATTGAACCCGGAAGATAATAAGGTGGTAAAAATGAAACTTTTCCTTTGTCAGCTGAGATACAGAATAAGAGATACAGCCAAAACATCCATCCTAATGTGGTGACAGAACTGTCTGCAGTATTCTAGGTGTGGTCTGACCAGGATTTTGTACAGTTGAAGCATGCCTTCTTCTCAAAACACCAAGTTTCTTTTGATGTCCACTGTTTCTAGTTTTCCATAATTTATAAAGTATCCTAATCTACCCTTTGGTTACTTCAGCTTTACTAGGTACAAAGTGGATGACTTTTATATTTGCCAATTTTTATTCATTCACCTGTTCTACGGATATCTCATTATAAATCTATGTTTTTAATGCAGATCTAGCAGAACATGAATCACAGCTGCAAAATAAAAGCACTTGCCCATTTCCCTTTGTTAGCTAAAGTTGATGCTAATTAATGGAATCTAAGATTATTGAACAGAAGATGACAAACTTCTTTGAAGGATTTTATCAAATGCCTATTGGCAGTTCATTTAAATAACATCCAATAGATATTCTCCGACTACTAGAGACATTTTATAAAACACATTAGATTTGTCTGGCATGATCTACAAATTTATGTCGGGTCTCTCTGAGCAGCTGAAAACTTACAGTTACCTTATCCTTTATTATAGGTTCTAGCAATTTCAGAACAAACAGATTTAGGAAAACTAACTTGTCTGTAGTCCTCCAGTTTTCATCTATTTAAAAGAGAAAGTGAGATAAGCAGTTTCCCTGTCTAATGGAATGATTCCCTAACCAAAACAACATTAGAAGATTATTGTTAGGGTAATGTTTACACTTTGTTTCTTTGATGGAAAACATTTGTTCCTATCGATTTGTCATTCCTTTGTGTCATTGATTTCTCCATTGCTGTTATTTGACTTCCATAAATTTTGTTGAGTTCCTATCCCTGGTAAGTTGCAAGAAAGGTGGGGCATGGATAAGGTAGGCAATGATGTATTCAAGAGAAAATATTTAGAAATAAGAGAGCTGTTGTATGGATTGAGGGAAATTCAGGGTTGGTTTTGACTGTTTTTGAAAGGAAGCTGGACTGCATTTACAGGGAATCCACCCATTAGGTCAGCTAGACATAATTACCAGGAAGGAAAATTGGATGGTCAGTAATTAATACACCAATTTCTGTTTGTATTCATTTTGAAAATTATTTACTTAACAAACGCTTCCAATAAATGCTATATCTTACCGACTGCCTTTCCTGTTTGTACCATACTACGACTTGTGGAGATCATTGCATTGCCAAGTTTCTTCCCACGTTCGCTATTCTGTACAGAACTAAGCAAAGAAATATCCGGTAAAGGACGTTCATTGTCAACAAGTATTTCACTTCTATACATTACAAAATGATTGCAACGTTTGATTTAATATCATTTCATTTTGCTTGTTAGGATTTGAATAACATAGAAATTATGCTTCTCCAGTATCACTTCAAAAGCTAATTTTATTACTGGTTTTTAAATTTCAATAATGGCTGCATTTGCTAACACTACTGTGCATAGGTTAGTGAGACATTTGCACATGCACTTTTGATTGTGACTCTTAAAGTGTCTACATGCGCCCCATTTTAACTGGGCTGGCTGAAGTCCACATTACTGCACATACCTGGATCCAAGCTCCCCGCACATGGGCGGTCCTGCAACAATTTCAAGGGGTGCCAAGTGTCAGCAGATGCTGATATTTTGGTCTCCTTAATTTAGAAGGGATCTGACTGCATAAAAAGCTGTTCCGACAAGATTAACTCAAACGATTCTCAGGATAAAGGGGTAAGCTCGTGAGGAAAAGTTGAGCAGGTTTGCCCAAAACACATTAAGGTACAAGTAATTTAGAATTTATAAGAATGAGAAGTTATGATTTTTAAAAACCCATTCACAGGATGTGGTTGTTGTTGGTTAGACAAGCATGGTTTTCTTGTCACAGCTCACTGAAACACAAGATCCTGAGGAGACTTGATGGGGCGGATGCTGAGAGGATCCTTCCCCTCAAAGAAGAGTCTACAACTCGGAGTCACAGTTTAAAAGTTAGGGTTCCTGATTAACAACAGAGATGGAATGTTTATATTAAACTGAGAATTATTAACCTGTGGAATATTGTCTTTCCTAGAAAGCAATGGAGGCTGGGCCATTGATTTTTGATTGACAGGGGAGTCAGGGTAATGGGGTTTGTGGGGTGACCAGCAGCAAAGTGGAGTTAAGGCCACAAACATATTAGCCATGATATTATTGAGCATGCTGAAGTGGTTGAATGCACTAATCCTGCTCCTAATTCTTGTGTTCCTGTGATGTAAGCAATTAGCAACCAATATTCATGAAACATGAGACGCGAATCATGGAATCCCTACAGTGTGGAAGCAGGCCATTCGGCCCATTGAATCCACACTGACCTTCTAAGGAGCATCCCACCCAGACCCAACCCTACCCTACCCTATCCCTGCATTTCTCATGGCTAATCTAGCTAACCTACACATCACTGGAGACCATGGATAGTTCAGCATGGCATAACCCACAACTCTTTCAACTGTGGGTGGAAACTGGAGCTCCCAGAGGAAACCCATGCAGACACAGGGAGAATGTGCAAACTCCACACACAATCACCTGAAGGTGCAACTGAACACGGGTCCCTGGCGCTGTGAGGCAGCAGTGCTAACCATCAAATCACCTTGCCGCCCATAGAAGTTCTGAAAACAAATGATCATAATACTTCAAACTCCACATCAATGCTATACATATTCTAATCTCATTTCCCCAGTCTACCTTTGCACCTCTGATAGTTTTACTCATCAAATGTTAATTTCATTCTGTTAATTGCTGTATATATTGTGATAATATTATGATAACTGCTTGGGAAAAATGCTTTTCCAAATGCCCCTTTGTTTCTAATGCTAAATACATATTTATATCTATTCATTTGCAAGTGAAAATAATTTTTCATCACCTTTCTCATTAGCATAAGAACACAAGAAATAAGAGGAAGAGGAGGTCATTCAGTCCCTCAAGCCTACTCAATTCAGTAAGGTCATTGGGATATGATTATGGCCTAAACTCCACTTAGCTGTCTGTTTCCCATAACCCTCGACTCCTTCACAGAACAAAAAACAGCCTCGAATATATTTCCAGTCTCCACTGCTCTCTGCAGCAGTGAATTCCAAAGACTGACAACCCTGAGAGAAGTTCTATCTTGCCACCATCTTAAATGGGAAACTCTTTTCATCAAACTGTGTTCCCTAGTTCTAGATTTCTCCACGAAAAGAATAATGTTCTCAGCATGTACTTCTGCCAAGTCAGAATCTTAAGTTTCAATAAGATCACATCTGATTCCTCTAAACTCCAATCAGTATGGGTTCAACATTACCTCAAGACAACCTTTTCATCTGTAGAATCTTCTCTAAAGTTTGAGTTTATGAAGACTTAGAAAATGAGTGTATCCCTCCGTATGTATGAAGACCAAAACTCTTCTGCAGTTCTCGGTGTTGTGAATAGCATGAACAGTTGTGGCAAGACTTCCCTGCTTTTGTACACCATTCTTCATTCAATAAGGCAAAACATTCCTAATTACTTGTGTAAGTACATGCTAACCTCTTGTGATCCAGGCCACCTAAAGCCCTCTGTATTAATGTATTCAGCAGTTTTTCATCATCTCCTCTGGGGATGTGCTGGTTAGTAGAACTTATTTCTGAGATTTGTGCATCTGAAGGCATCAAGCTGGTGTTCTTTGTCATAGATAATATTGTGATGATCAAGATAGGTGCTGTGAAAAATGACAGCTAACCAAATCAACTACTGGGCAGATACAGCCATGTGAAAGAAACAAGGAGTTGGAACAGGTCATCTGGCCCTTTGAACCTGCTCTACCATTCAACGTGATCATGGCTGATCAGTAATTCAGGAACTCAGTACCCTGTTCCCACATTCTCCCCATACCATTTGATTCCTTTAGCCCTAAGAATAATGTCAACTACTCCTTGAAAATATTCACTGCTTTAGCCTCAAACACTTTCTCTGATAGAGAATTTCACAGGCTCACCATTCTGTGTAAAGAAATTTCTCATCCTGTTGCTGAATGACCTACCCTATATATAATGTAGCAAAAACAAAGTTGCTGGAAAAACTCAGCAGGTCTGGCAGCATCTGTGGAGGAGAAAACAGAGTTAATGTTTCGGGTCCGGTGACCCTTCCTCAGAACTGGCTACATATATATGTAGACTTGACTGCAGGTTCTGGACTCCCAGGTTATCAGGAACATTGTCCCTGCATTTATCCTGTCTAGTTCTATTTGAATTTTATAAATTTCTTTGAGATTCCCCCTCATTTTTCTAAACGCTAGTGAATATAGTTCTAACTGATCCAGTCTGTCTTCATATGTCAGTCCTGCCATCCCAGGAATCAGTCTGGGAAACCTTCATTGCATTCCCTCCATAGCCAGAACATCTTTCCTCAGATAAGGAGGCCAAAATTGCACACAATATTCCAGCCATAGTCTTTTCAAGGCCCTATAATTGCAGCAAGACATCCTTGCTCCTATACTTAAATCCTCTTGCTATGGAGGACACGCTGAGAAAATTATTCTTTTTGTGGAGAAATCTAGAACTAGGGAACACAGTTTAATGAAAAGAGTTTCCCATTTAAGATGGTGGCAAGATAGAACTTCTCTCAGGGTTGTCAATCTTTGGAATTCACTGCTGCAGAGAGCAGTGGAGTGCTATATTCCTCTATTAAAAACCATTTGCCCTCTTCATTGCCTGCTGCACGTACATCCTTGCCTTCAAGCATTGTTGCACCTTCCCCTTTCTCATTCTATTACCATTTAGATAATAATCAACTCTCATGCTTTTGCTACTGAAGTGGATACATCGCAAAGTTTTTTTCTGCATCAACCATACATCTGGTCCATTCAGCATGAACATGATACTTCAAAATCTTGCTGAGGTGTATATGAACTATGGATGTTAGACCCACTGCCAAAATGGCAAGGTGGGCTTTATTTCTTTGAAGGTACCTCTTGATCTCATACTTTATATGAGTTCTGAACATTTTACACACTAATAAGGTGCATTTTATTTGGGCCATCAGGACAACATTCCACATATAATTGACCCATAACTTCACACTATCCTCATCCATCCAACTGTTATCATGGACAGGCACAAAAACTCCTGCAGCAATTTTGATGTTTGGCATAGCTTTGCATTTGAAAATTGAAAAATTGCCTCAGGCTTTAATGTTGTTCTGTTCGCCATGCAGTCCCAGCATGAATCTTGTCTTCTCGTGTCCCACTGCTTTCATTAGAAGGGTTTTCAAAATCCCAATGTGCAGCTACTGAGCACACCAAAATTCCTGGGTGATTCATTAACAATGATGGTGACTGATGTGAATTGATTATTTTAACTTCTATTAGTCTCTGAGCATTTTGGTCTTCTGCTGTCAAACAAGACTGTCCTTTTCAATAATTATGGTTACACTAATTAGCTGATGATCGGAGTCTTTGCTGGACTCTGGGTTTGTTGGACCACTTCAGTGCATTTTTGGTGACCATTCCAATGGTTTTTGAGGACCCGTCCCAAGATATATTTCTTCAGCTTATGGCAGTGGCTTGTCCCTGTTCTGATGTTGCATTTGGTCTTGGGTATTTTCTTCAGGTTCATGCAGGTTTTTTCACTAGCACTAAATTCTCTTGGTGTAGCAAAGTTTTTTGATCAGTTAGCAAATGTCAGGCTTTTATCCTGAAAACAGCATTGTACTTCATTCTTTTTGTTGGAGGACCCATATGTATTTGTTGCTTACCATGCCATGTGCAGTCTGGGGCACAGACATGTACTAAAATGCCCTGCAGCTTATATTGCCTGCTTGCTTCCATTTGCAGATGAGTACTATAAGGTGACTAAAACATGCACTTCTAGGAAGAAAAGTTAAAACCAGTGCAGGTATAGTATTTCATAGCTAAAAGGGGTAGTCAACTTATGTACCCAGCATATGTAAAAACACAACTTTTAGCAGTGAGAAAATGGGGTTAAGCCATATGATGGATTAACCTGTATGTTACATTCTATGGAATCTTTCTACATGCATGTTGTTACACACTTGTCTGTATCACATTTTATGGTGAGTAAAGATGACAAATTCCAGTTTCATTGTGAAATTTCTTTTAAAAACATGCCTTAGTAAGATCATAAGAAATTGCAGCCAACTGGCCCAACAACCTGGTTTCAGCATTCAATGAGACTGTGGCTGATCAGATTGCACTACTAAATCCATGCTCTTCCATCTCCCTAAACCCCATGA